AATTGCAAGTGTTAATCAGCGACCTATTTACACGTATTTTAACATATATAACATACAAAAAGAATAGACTTAGAGACTCACTGATGTTGACAACGTATTGCACATATTTATTTTACTTAGAAAATAAGCCAGGCACTTCTGTTCAGCGGTTCAGACAGTTGACCACGAGGCCTGAAATGATGCACAACGACCACTGAATATGACGTCATCATTATGTGACCGGATATGCTAAAGTAGGGCTGCTCGATTATGGCAAAAACAATAATCACGATTATTGTGACTGAAATTGAGATCTCGATTATTTAAGACGATTTTTCAATTCATGTAGATTTTTTTATTTTTATTTTTATTCAGTCATAAAACTGCTCAGGGCACAATCAGGGCAAAATTAAACAAGAAACAAGTTGATCACTAAAATAACTCCTGGTTCCCAGTATAAAAAGACCAATATACTTATAGCTCATAGTCTATGACCCAAGGGCAATAGACCTTGGTTTAACTCATTTAAGTCTAACCAGTACAGACCCAAATACCAATATCTTGCAAATATTGACAACAAGAATTATACAGTGGCATTTATAACAAATACATGCAAATAAATTGATGTTCACTAAATGTTGCATAACATTTATTTAGTCGTGTCAAGGTGCTGTAGGAGAGTGCACTAGCACCGTGTCCTCAGAGAGATTAGTCATTATTTATCAGCGTGAGGAACTTACTTCTATCTATTTCTACCTTATTTATAAACTATTTATTTACAAGTCCACCAGTTAATGTAATAATTGTCTCAACCACAGCTGCACCCCCCACCACCCAACCCGGTCTCACAGCAATCGGGGGCAAGCTGCACGTGTGTTTAGCACGCCGCACGCGCACATTTAGCCGTTTTTATCGGCTCAGGAGCCCGCAGGTGCGGTGTGTGTCACTCACTCTGGTTAATCCAACAAGGAGCCGGCTCCGAGAGCTTTTTCTTTAGCGACTGACACATCACTACATCATTCCCTTTCCTAATGTCCTGAAGAACGGTCCGGAGTGCAGGCGGAGTGTTTAGCTAACCTGCAGGAAATGTCGTCGACAGTTATCCAGAAAGTAGCTAAGGGTTACCAGAGATGTTTCTGAGGTGTTCGCTAGGTACTTTTAAGATTTAAAAAGCCAAGAAGGGGGTCTGAAACGCTGTTAGAAATAGCGTCAAAGTCGCCAAGTTGGCAACGGAGCGCTTCATTTGTAACTCAGGGCAGCTCAAGTGGGAGGAGCAAATAATCGGCTTGTTTTGTTTTAATAATCGTTCAAAACATTTCATTCGGAATATATTTCTATGTCGATGTTCAGAATACGACATCTGATAGTCTGAAAAAAAAATACCTAATTTGGAAAAAATAATACCTCTGAGACCAAATTTAACACTTTTAATGGCCTTAAATTTGACTATTTTTATTTATCACTTTTTAATACCTTTTAAAACCCCGCGGACATCCTGTTCCTCTCCGCTAATGGTGCGTTCGCTTTCTCCTCGGAACTCCGAATTTCCGACTAGAAGAACATGAACGTGCTCTAAAGTTTGGCTTCACTTTACTAAATGATTGGGTGAAGATGAAACCAGCGACAACGATCTAAGTGTGAGGCATCAACGTTTTAATCTGCTCCAGCAGCTAAATAAACTGTTTAAGATAACGTTAGCTTGATATGTTAGCTTCCATTGCTGCCATTGTTATAAACTAATGGTGCGTTCGCTTTCTCCTCGGAAATTCTATCTTCCCAGTAGGAAAAAATCAAAGAAAAAGGAAGGTAAAAGGAATGAAGATACACAGTAAATTTAGTTCACAGTAAAGATGTTTGCTTCAGTTTAATTATCAGCTTATAAAACTACAAGGACGATGTTAAAATACAAACAGTTGAATGTTATTTATCATATTTATCAAATATGGTTATATATTGAGAAAAAATATATATTTAATTATAAAAGAGAATTAAAATAATAAACACTCAAAAGTATCTAAAATTGGTACCGTTAAGTACCGGTATCGATTCCTAGGTACCGGCGATTAGTACCGAATCGATTCAAATGTCAAAGGTACCCATCCCTAGCTACCGTTCCTCCCTTTCCCTTCAGTGTTAGTCGGGCTTGGGGCAAGTGTTGCATGTGGTGATGGCCGGGTTTTAAATCCTCTGTATGGTATTGGAGCAGAAACGCAGACCCAAACACTGTTGTTCTGAAGGTTCTGATACTTTTCCGTCAAAGCCAGCAAGAACATCTGCAGCTCTTCTGGTAGATGCAACTCGAAGGTACAGGTGAACTTCACTTCATACTTGTAACTAAAACTTGGCAGGTGAAGAGAATCCCTAATGTTCGACACATAAAGGATTAAAAACACACTCCGAGGTCAAAGAAGCAACAGAAGCGCTGGTAATAAAACCCCACACACACCTCTGAGATGTGTGTGGGCTGCAGCCTGATCACACGTTCATCACTTCCTGTCTAAAAAACCAACAGACAACATCCTATTTACTGGTTTTATCATAATCTGCTGGTGGGAGACGAAGAAGGGCAAACACTTCAGGTGTGTGAGCGCGTGTGTGTGTGAGCGCATGTGTGTGTGAGCGCATGTGTGTGTGAGCGCATGTGTGTGTGAGCGCGTGCGCCTGTTTAAGGGCATAGAAATCATTTGGGGAAGGTGGTACAACACGGCAGGATTTGTGCTCTTATTTCCTGATATTTGGACATCTCTCCTCTGATTGGCTAACAACAACACGACTACCACTGACTCTGATCTACAACGCTGATGTTTTGTCTCCACAAAAAACACAAGCCTGGAGGAGTTCTGCTGTGTGGTGGAGGTGCTGGTGCTAATGGTTAGCTTCTACTAGCCGAGACGTTCTGCTGGTTTTTAGATGCTGGCGCTCATTTTAAATTGAAACAGAATCATCAGTTCAGTTCTGATCCAAACCCATAACGCCACAGAACCCTGAGACACACAACCCGGCATAAATAAAACAGCTGTGCCTCTAATCAAAGGTCAGACCTCTCAACTGTTCTTCCGTCAGTCCAAATTACCTTCTAACCTTTAACCTTTCACCTGCCATACCCCCCCCCCCCCCCCCCCCCCGGACTTGTCAGGAACTTTTCCTCTTCCTGTGACTCGCGCTGCTCAGAAATGAAGAGCGTCACAACGACCAAAGATAAAGATGAAAAAAGTACACAGAAGAGTCTGTGTGAGACATTGGGGCTGTTGGGAGTTCAAAGGTCCTGCGGCTGCGTTGCCATGGTAACGACCTCTAGACCACCAGTTATGTCATCGTTTTGCTCAGCTGAGCCTGACTCAAACTTGAGGTTTTTCGCTCAGAAGTTTTAAACGTGAGTCGCCGTGTGTGTGTGTGTGTGTGTGTGTGTGTGTGTGTGTGTTGCTGTTAGAGGTCTGCTCTGCGTTCTCTCCATCTACAGCCACTGAGCTCCGTTAGTCATGACTGTAAGAAAAGCGCAGATTCTGGGTTTGAGGGCCGATTTCTGATTCCTGCAGCTCTAACCTAATGATATTTATTTATTAATAATAGCGATATAAGTAAATATTCCTGTGCATATTTGACTCTGAGGTCAGAGGGCAACATGAAGTCAGAAAAATTACACCTTGAGCATTTTGAGCCTCAGTCACATGGCGATGCTGAATATCTAGACTCTCTAGAACATCCATAGGCGTCCTGTGAACCTTCCTATTGGAAACCTGGAGCCGTTTTAAAAGGGAACTAGGCAGTTTTGGGTTGTTTTGAGCACCGAAAGCAAAAATATTGCATCGCTGCGCGTTTGTCTTTTTAACACCTTAATCTTACAGCTGAAACGTCAGCCAGCCTTCATTAGTGTCTACAGGAGCGATTCATCCCTACATGAAACCAATCAGATGTGTTCCTGATCTAAAACATGCAGGAAACGTGCTGGAACCAGACTGCAGCACCAGGTATGTCAGCTCATTTATTTCTCAGTCCCAACAGAGCGGCTGCCAGTCTGAAGTTGCAAGTGGAATATTCTGGCCACAGGGGACGATAGGTGCGGGGTGGCCTTTCATAAAATCTGTAAAGGGGCGTTTTACCACATACTGGCTGGAGAAAATTATTTAAAATATGAAAAAGTTGCCAAGTACCCCTTAATAATGACATCACTGTGTTTAACTCGTTCACTGCCAGTTTTTCTCGCCGTTTTTACAGTTTTTTTTAAGCGACAGAACGTTGCGCGCTAGGACGACGTCGACGCCAAAACAACCAAAACAAAGCGGAGACTCTCCTCTTACATCAGGAAGAATCAGCGCGTTTCGAGCGTTATCCGTTCTTTCATGATCCGTTGTTGAATTGTGATCGGCAGAAGCTTTTCCGGTTCGCTCCTCACTTTTTTTACAGCAGCGACCCAAAACGATCTCCTAACACATGGATGTCCTGCTTCCTGATCACGTGACGTGTGACGTACGCGGATGAAGATTAGCTGAAATGTTTGTTCTCACGGTGCAGGGGCTCGTCCGACGCCCACACCGTAAAAACATGCAAATGACGTCTTTAGCCGTCATTGGCAGTGAATGAGTTGATTAGTAAATTTAGCTTGTAGCAAGATTAGCTGACGGATGTAAACTCTTTCTCTGAACTGAGGCTTTTCATGAAGCTAGCTATGCATAAGTCAGCATTTATTTACAGTTAGTGTGGAAAAGTTGTCCGACTGTTCCCCTCACGGAGGGAGAAGAGAACATGAAATAAAACAAAGTGATGTGGGTGGGACCGCCTCTCGCCTCCTTTCCCACCTCCTCCTCCGTCCCGACCTCCGTACAGCTCACGTGCTCAGCAGGAAGGAGGCAATAAACACAAACACCGAAACATGACAGCTGAAAGTACAACATGGCCTGGAAACAGCAGCGAGGCAGCAAAGTGGAGCATGCACACACACGCACGCACACACACACACACACACACACACACACACACACACACACACACACGGGGAAGTAGAGCAGAACAGAGGAACTCACCTCCTGCTGCTGCTCCTTCAGCTCCTCCTGCCTGTCAGCAGGTGCTCTCCTCCCAGACAGGAGGAGGAGGAAGACTCAGATCCATTCAACTGTTGCTCCCATTTCCTCCTAACTTGTTTCCTGTCTGTGAGGAAGTAAAAGTCCTGATGTTTCTACAGATCTGACTCACGGCACTCCCTCTTCCTCCCTCCTCTTCCTCTCAGTCCAGCGACGCCCCAGAGATCAGCGGTGCAGCAACCGCTGCTGCTGCTGAGGCCATCTGTTGCAACACGTCTGCTGCCTCTCCACTTTCACTCTCCTCCTCCTCCACCTCCTCAGGAGGAGCAGGAGGCAGGGCATGTCCAGAGCAGCAGCCAATCAGGAGACCACTGACTCCGTCTGAATGCCTGGAGGGGGAGGGGCTAAAAAGAGTGGACAAAAAGAAACAAATACAAAAAAAATCTGCCAAGGGGAAAACAGAATCAGAGGACAGAGGGACACAGCTCAGAGTTTTGTCATGACGATGCAGATGGAAAATACCGAGCTAGGTCCTGAAACTCTGACAGCAGAACAAAGACACAATTTGAAAAACTCTGTGGTTCTGTTCCAGACCACCTTAAGCTTGTTGGAACATCTGAGGGGAAATAGTTGTTGTATCGGAGGGCGGTGTCATAAAAACAACAAGGAAAGACTGTTAATCACTTTAAATTCAACAAAGTATTAAAATCAATCCTAAATCTGACAGAAATCCAGAGAAGAGTCACGAGTTTTAGTTTCACCTTGAAGTAAGCCAGGCGGACCGTTTAGAGATGACTGATCTAATCCAACACCCAGAATCCAACCACAGGTAACAGATGCATGAAGGAGCTTTATCAGAAGAGTCATAGCCTGGCAAGCTACAACAGATGTATTATTTAGTCTGGCAACACTCCGGTGATGGTTCTCGGTCGGGGGGGGGGGAATCTTCTGTGCTACTGGACTACACAGCCTGACATACTCACCGCATCTGATGTCTGTAAACAAGGCAGACCGCTGTTTTAAATGAGCTGTCACCATCTTGTTCCACTCTTTTCCATCCTGATTGGCCCACAAAGCAGACAGAACGCTGTGATTATCCCACCGTTGTGGACCAATCTGTCAGGCGTGCCGGTGAGTGAAATGGAGGTGAGGATCCACACGCGGGTGAGGAAGGAGGCAGGCAGGCAGACAGGAACATTTAAAGGGTTTTAATGAGACACGCAGGACAACGAAACAATGAACCAACCAGACAAAATGGACTAACAGGGTTTAAATACAGGAGGAGCTGGGACCTTGGGTGATTGGGAGACGAGAGGCAGGTGGGAGCAATTAACATGAACACAGGACTGAACCGAATGGGGAGACAGGACAGGGTGTGACAGTGACACCCCCCTCAGAGGGTGGATTCCAGACGCCCCCAGGAACATAGAGCAGGGTGGGAGGAGGGGGACCCGGTGGGAGGGCCGAGGGACCGACGGAGAGGAGGCAGGGACCAGTAGAGTCCGGGGGCCTGCGCTGGGGCAGAGGAGGCGACGACAGGCTCTTGGGGGCCTGCGTCTGTGGCAGAGGAGGCGACGACGGGCTCTTGGGGGCCCGTGCCTGGTGAGGGCAGGACTGGTGGTGACCGGAGGCAGAGACGCCGGAGGACGCGTCTTTGACTTCTGGACTGGAGGCGGTGGTGACAACCTCAGGGCTGGAGGCGGCGGCGATGAGGGACTGGAAAAGGCGTTGATCACAGCACTGGAGACAGCGTCGCCCACTTGTCTGGAGACGGTGTCGACCACGGGACTGGAGACGGCGTCGACCACTGGACTGGAGACGGCGGAGAAGTTGGACTGGAGGGAACGCCGACCTCTGGACTGGAGGGAGCGTTGGCCTCTGGACATGAGGGAGCGTCGACCTCTGGACACGAGGGAGCGTCGACCTCTGGACACGAGGGAGCCTCGACCTCTGGACACGAGAGAGTGTCGACCTCTGGACACGAGGGAGCGTCGACCTCTGGACACGAGGGAGCGTCGACCTCTGGACACGAGGGAGCGTCGACCTCGACAAGAAGGAGCGTCGACCTCTGGGCTGGAAAGAGGTCGACCTCTGGACTGGAGAGAGTGTCGACCTCTGGACTGGAGAGAGCGCCGTCCTCTGGACTGGAGAGAGCATCGACCTCTGGACTGGAGAGAGGGCCGACCTCTGGACTGGAGAGAGCGCCGTCCTCTGGACTGGAGAGAGCGCCGTCCTCTGGACTGGAGAGAAAGCTGTCCTCTGGACTGGAGAGAGCGCCGACCTCTGGACTGGAGAGAGCGCCGACCTCTGGACTGGAGAGAGCGTCGACCTCTGGACTGGAGAGAGCGTCGACCTCTGGACTGGAGAGAGCGTCGACCTCTGGACTGGAGAGAGGGCCGACCTCTGGACTGGAGAGAGCGCCCACCTCTGGACTGGAGAGAGCGCCGTCCTCTGGACTGGAGAGAAAGCTGTCCTCTGGACTGGAGAGAAAGCTGTCCTCTGGACTGGAGAGAGCGCCGACCTCTGGACTGGAGAGAGCGCCGACCTCTGGACTGGAGAGAGCGTCGACCTCTGGACTGGAGAGAGCGTCGACCTCTGGACTGGAGAGAGCGTCGACCTCTGGACTGGAGAGAGCACCGTCCTCTGGACTGGAGGGAGCGTCGGCCTCTGGACATGAGGGAGCGTCGACCTCTGGACATGAGGGAGCGTCGACCTCGACACGAAGGAGCGCCGACCTCTGGACTGGAAAGAGGTCGACCTCTGGACTGGAGAGAGTGTCGACCTCTGGACTGGAGAGAGCGCCGTCCTCTGGACTGGAGAGAGCATCGACCTCTGGACTGGAGAGAGGGCCGACCTCTGGACTGGAGAGAGCGCCGTCCTCTGGACTGGAGAGAGCGCCGTCCTCTGGACTGGAGAGAAAGCTGTCCTCTGGACTGGAGAGAGCGCCGACCTCTGGACTGGAGAGAGCGCCGACCTCTGGACTGGAGAGAGCGTCGACCTCTGGACTGGAGAGAGCGTCGACCTCTGGACTGGAGAGAGCGTCGACCTCTGGACTGGAGAGAGCGTCGACCTCAGGACTGGAGAGAGCGTCGACTTCAGGACTGGAGACAGCGTCGCCCACTGGACTGGAGATGGCGTCGACTACTGGACTGGAGACGGCGGAGACGTTGGACTGGAGGGGACGTCGACTTCTGGACTGGAGGGGACATCGACCTTTGGACCGGAGGGAACGCCGCCCTCTGGACTGGAGAGAGCATCGACCTCTGGACTGGAGAGAGCGTCGACCTGAGAGCGTCGACCTCTGGACTGGAGAGAGCGTCAACCTCTGGACTGGAGAGAGCGCCGTCCTCTGGACTGGAGAGAGCGTCGACCTCTGGACTGGAGAGTGCGCCGTCCTCTGGACTGGAGAGAGCGTCGACCTCTGGACTGGAGAGAGCGTCGACCTCTGGACTGGAGAGAGCTTCGACCTCTGGACTGGAGAGAGCGTCGACCTCAGGACTGGAAAGGGCGTCGACCGCAGGACTGGAAGGGGCGTCGACTTCAGGACTGGGGGCGTCGACCTCAGGACTGGAAGGGGCGTCGACCGCAGGACTGGGGGCGTCGACCTCCCTCGACTTCTGGACTGGAGACAGCGTCGACCACTGGACTGGAGACGGCGGAGACGTTGGATTGGAGGGGACGTCGACCTCTGGACTGGAAGGTACGTAGACCTCTGGACTGGAGGGAACGCCGGCCTCTGGACTGGAGGGAGCGTCGGCCTCTGGACACGAGAGAGCGTCGACCTCTGGACTGGAGAGAGCGTCGACCTCTGGACTGGAGAGAGCGTCGACCTCTGGACTGGAGAGAGCGTCAACCTCAGGACTGGAAAGGGCGTCGACCGCAGGACTGGAAGGGGCGTCGACTTCAGGATTGGGGGCGTCAACCTCCCTCGACTTCTGGACTGCAGACAGCGTCGCCCACTGGACTGGAGACGGCATCGACCAATGGACTGGAAACGGCGTTGACCACGGGACTGGAGACAGCGTCGACCACAGGACTGGAGACTGTGTCGACCACTGGACTGGAGATGCCGGACTGGACGGGACGTCGACCTCTGGACTGGAGGGGACGTCGACCTCTGGACTGGAGGGAACGCCGACCTCTGGACTGGAGGGAACGCCGACCTCTGGACTGGAGGGAGCGTCGGCCTCTGGACTGGAGGGAGCGTCGACCTCTGGACACGAGGGAGCGTCGGCCTCTGGACACGAGAGAGCGTCGACCTCTGGACTGGAGAGAGCGTCGACCTCTGGACTGGAGAGAGCGTCGACCTCTGGACTGGAGAGAGCGTCAACCTCAGGACTGGAAAGGGCGTCGACCGCAGGACTGGAAGGGGCGTCGACTTCAGGACTGGGGGCGTCAACCTCCCTCGACTTCTGGACTGCAGACAGCGTCGCCCACTGGACTGGAGACGGCATCGACCAATGGACTGGAAACGGCGTTGACCACGGGACTGGAGACAGCGTCGACCACAGGACTGGAGACTGTGTCGACCACTGGACTGGAGATGCCGGACTGGAGGGGACGTCGACCTCTGGACTGGAGGGGACGTCGACCTCTGGACTGGAGGGAACGCCGACCTCTGGACTGGAGGGAGCGTCGGCCTCTGGACTGGAGGGAGCGTCGGCCTCTGGACTGGAGGGAGCGTCGACCTCTGGACACGAGGGAGCGTCGACCTCTGGACACGAGGGAGCGTCGACCTCTGGACACGAGGGAGCGTCGACCTCTGGACTGAAAAGAGCGCCGACCTCTGGACTGGAAAGAGCGTCGACCTCTGGACTGGAGAGAGCGTCGACCTCTGGACTGGAGAGAGCGCCGTCCTCTGGACTGGAGAGAGCGCCGTCCTCTGGACTGGAGAGAGCATCGACCTCTGGACTGGAGAGAGCGCCGTCCTCTGGACTGGAGAGAGCGCCGACCTCTGGACTGGAGAGAGCGTCGACCTCTGGACTGGAGAGAGCGTCGACCTCTGGACTGGAGAGAGCGTGGACCTCTGGACTGGAGAGAGCGTCGACCTCTGGACTGGAGAGAGCGTCGACCTCAGGACTGGAAAGGGCGTCGACTTCAGGACTGGGGCGTCAACCTCCCTCGACTTCTGGACTGGAGACAGCGTCGCCCACTGCACTGGAGACGGAGTCGACCACTGGACTGGAGATGGCGTCGACCACGGGACTGGAGACGGCGTCAACCACGGCACTGGAGACGGCGTCGACTACTGGACAGGAGACGGCGGAGACGTTGGACTGGAGGGGACGTCGACC